TGGCTCTCTAGCTTTAGGAACTGGGTGGTTGTTAGAATCATTAATAAAGTTAATGAAAGTTTGTTTTATTTTGGTGGGAGAACATAGAAGTATAGTATTTTTAAAATTTTTTTAAACTTTTCTTTTTTTTTTAAGTAAGCTTTACACCCAATGTGGGGCTTGAACTCACAATCCTGAGATCAAGAGTCATGTGTTCTACTGACTGAGCCAGGCACCTGGCTCAATCATACCCAGAAGTATGGTAGTGTTTTGCACTGGTCTCAGCCTATCAATGACCAGTGTGGCTGGACCAGCCCTTGTGGTTCTTATGAATGCAAGACACCCTTCAGCAACAACCATCAGGAAACCTTGAAAAAAATAAAGGTTTATTACTTACAAGACCTGTAGATTACACAGCACAACTAGGGCCACGCAGCAAAGTTGTGGGTAAAGAGAGCATGCATGGGCCTGGTATTCTGCTTTTACTGGGGTTGAGGGTTGCTCAGGCTCACTCTTTTTTGGTGAATTTAAGACATAAGAGTAGAATTTAAAATATGGGAGGAGAAAAAACAAGTGGCCCAAATAGTTATCAAAATCAACCAAAATCCTTCCAGCCCTTGGGAAGGGGAGAGGAGATCTAGAACAAGCAGCTTGGTTTTAAAATATGGCATGATCCAATCATCACATCAATTTTGCTCATCTCTTATTGACCTAAACTAAGTCACACAGTCACACCTAATAGCAAGAACACATGAGAAACAGTCTTTTGGGATAGGGCTGAGAGTTTTTATTGCAGTTTTCCTGTCTCTGCTCCATCATTAAGTGAAGATAACTTGTCTTTTAGTTCATAGAACCCTAGAACACAAGAAATCCTATCCAGGCCTGATGAAGAGAAATGAGCATCAGTCAGAGATTTTTAGATATCCAGCAAGATAGGACTTTTGTTGTCATCCTCCTGGAGGGAGTAAATGCTGTCTGTATTTGGAAAGAAAATAAACCAAAGGGATAGACTAGCACAGAGAGGGGCAATATTTGTGTTCCTTCTTTTGGGGGTTTGTTGGTTACTACAGCTAGCCTAAACCTAAGTAATGTATTCATTTATTCATCTACTTTTTAACTGTTTGGGTCCCTTCTTGAATATAAGCTTTAAGAGGTCAGTCTTTGTTTATTCCTTACAATGTCCCCAGTGCCTAGGACAGTGCCTGGTGCACAGGTGTTCCACAACTATCTATGAGTGAAGGAGAAGTGCAGACCGGATTATGTCCCCTGCAGTGGGCAGAAACTACGTGAAGCCACACAACATCTCACGAAACCGTGGCTGAAACTGACATTATGACTGACTCAGAGTTGCAACATTTATTTTCTCCGAACACAAATAACTGTTTGTTGGCTAGGCAGTCAGTATAACACTGGGGCTAGAGGTCAGCTCGTGTTCATGGCCATCATCCTGGAACTAACCTTCTTCTGTACCTACTCCAGTCTGGTACCCATTTAGGTTCTGGCAAGCAACCGGGCCATTGAATGGTTAATGAGACCTGAGGGACGGTGTAGTTCAGTCCTCCTCTTTGAGGAGAAAAGGACAGTCAGGAGTTGGAGAGATAATCCAAAATGCAAATGTCAAGTCCAAATACCAGAAGTGGAATTGTAAATGAGAGATAGAACAGAGATGCCAGAGCCTAAAGTAGGTACAGAAGAAGGTTAGTTCCAGGATGATGGCCATGAACACCGTCAGTTCTTGGTATCTTGACTCCATGGTGGTGAGTGTTAGTGCAAGCCCACATCTGATTTGCTAAAACTATAGAGCTGGAACACTGAGGACTTGGGAAGTCATGAGAACTATCTCTAACTACTTAAAGAATTGCCAAAGCTCCAGAGTTCTAGGTCTGCTACTCATTGACTGAGAGACCTTGGATATGCCACCTGATCTTGCTGGACCTCCTTTTCCTCTTTGGGAAAATGAATATGATAAAATTCCATGGGTATGTCACAAAGGAGGTGGTATAGATCTAATTATGTAATGGTGGTAAACGGACTCTGAAAACTATAAATTGATAACGAAATTTTGAGCTGTATCTATGGGTGAAAAGTTCGGTATTCTGAAACACTATTGTCAGAGATAGCTGCCTAGGGTTGCAATGACTTGCCTCCTGAACTACTGGGAACCTCCATGACTAGACACAGCCATCTGCTAAGGTTCTTAAGGATATGAAGGCAGAGGAAGGGCTATCAACTGGATCCAGGCATGGGCTCATGGAGTCCACCAACGTCATGAAATCACAGACAAGCTCTGTTGGTGCTTGGGGTACATACGCATTTCTGGAGAAGACCCACAATTTTCTTTAGATTTGTAAAAAGGCCAATGATTCACAAAAGGTAAAGAATAAGAACATGATACTTGATATTACAACTCTGTTGAGTGTACTATCCTTTCTAGACTTGAAACTGAGCATATTTTTTTTTTCTTATGCGCTACCTTCCAGTTGAGGCGAAGAGAAGGGGAAGTCAGAGTATTTTGTCCAGGACTATGTGGCTCCTTCAAGATACTGACCCACCCCATCCATTTCTGGCTCGGGACTGAGTATTTATAAATTTACCTGTATGGCCTGTTTGAATGCTGGCTCTCGATTACTATACTCTGAATGCTATGACACCTTCATGGTCAGTACTATCCCTGATACTATTTCTATTTTAAAGGACCTGTTCCAGTCCATGCTTAAATGATAGACTGTTGGTGGCAGAGGTGACTCGGTGTCCCTTCAGCATCTTTTCTCCACTCCTACAGAAATAGAAGATTTAGCTGAGCACATGGTTGCCAGCTAAAGACCACATTTCCCAGTTTCCCATTCAGCTATAAGAAGGACTGGGTTTTCCGAAGATCTGTGAGCAGAGTGATGAGTACAACTTCCAGCTAATATCCTAAAAAGGGAAGGCACCTGCATTCCCATTCCTTTTCATCTCTTCCCACTTGCTTGAAAGTAGATGTGGTGGCAGGAGCTATAGCAACTTAGCTTAGATCATTCATTGAATCATTCATTGACAGCCATGTGTTGAAGATAGAGAACAAGATATACAGAGCCTAGCTATCTGATGACCTTGTAGAGCAAACTACCTTACTAGTTCTGCACCACCTACCTCCTTAAGACTTTCATATGAGAGAAAAAGACATTTTTATCTTGTTTAAGCTCTATTTGGGGATTTTTTTGTTATAGTAAGCTGTTACAGATGTGACCAGGACTTTATTTTCATTTCTTATCCATCCAGATAGTCAAGATCAGTTTGCTTTTACTTGGCAAGGACAATATACTTCTACTATTTGTTTCAGGCCTATCAAAAAAAATTTTTTTTTGAGTATAGCTGACACACAAGGTTACATTAGCTTCAGGTGTACAACATAGTGATTCAACAACTCTCAGTTATGCTATGCTCACCACAGGTGTTAACTACCACCTGTCACCAGACGATGGTATTACAATATCATGGACTATATGTGCTACACTGTGCCTTTTATTCCCATGACTTATTCATTCTACAACTCGAAGTGTTTTGGGGCTATTTAAATTGTCCAGCGAATTGCCATAATTTTGCCTCTAGGGGGCATCTGAGAAGGAGAAGGTGTAGCTTCTCTCCTTTGAGGTCTCAACTTACATATCCTTTTCTTAGAGAGGATTTTCTAGACGACCTAATCTAAAGTAAGTTCCCCTTCATTACTGTCTAGCTCAGTCCATTCACTTCCTTCATGGCACTTAATGAAATTTGTAATTATTTGTCTGTTATCCATCTTCCACTTTAGGATACAAGCTCCATGAGGGCAGGGGTCATGTCTGTTTATTCGCTGAATGCTTATCACAATATCTGACATGTAGCGGACACATAAACATCAAATGAGTGATGAATCTGGAAATAATAATTATTATTACTAATATTTGGAAATTATTAAAAAATTCCTGCTCAGGCTTCACAAGCATTGTTAGCACCAGAAAACTATGTAGACTATCTAGATAATATTCCAATGGAGGTTTTTTTATTCAAGATTAAAACCCAGAAACCATAAAGAAAAGTTTATTTATCTTATTTCATGAAAATTTAGAAGTTCTGTATGCTAACAGACACCATACAGTTTTATAAAAGTAAAAGAATGGGGAAAATTATGAAGAAAAGTTACAATCAAGGACTATTATCCACAATATTAAAGAACTCATATAGAACTCCATAGGAAAAGAAGCATAAATGATGTATGAGTCACAGACAACAAAATAAACACAAATGGCCAAGAAGCAAACATTTTAAATATCCAATAATAAGAAAATAGTTCAATAAATTGTAATATATCCATATTATAGAACATTATGAATCCATGATTAGGAATAAGATATATTTTTTATTAAGTGAAAAAAAGCAAGAATAATATGGATATGATCCCATCTGTAAGAATACGAACATACATACCAACATATGTATATATGACATGTATAGGAAAAGTTCTGAAAGAATGAACACCAAACCATTCTGTTTTTCGGAAAATGAGTAGGCTCGGTCAGGGCAGAGAGGTGTACGGTCTTTGAAATGGGATTTTTACTTTTTACTCTACATACTTTTCGAATGTTGGATATGTTTTGCTGTGAGCATACATGCACCTATTGTGTAATTCCAAAACTATTTTAAAAAGCAACAGAAAATATATGGAAGTCACCTAGCAAAATTCTTGGTATATAGCATTAATAGCAGCCAGAATCAAACAGAAATGATTGGAAAATCTCCCCAAATCATACAGAAACAGATCTAGGTGACACAGGATATCACCTAGAAATGGTTTTAGATAACGTGCAGTTACACAGAGACCCCCATCCCACCCACCCCTAACCCTCCCACCATATTTTGATTCCTCTTCATTTTCTTGGCCCAGTAGCTGTAATTTAACTTT